TGTTAATTGGTTGGTGCCCGCCACGATCTCATAAACTCAAAAAGTTGGGGACTACTGACTTAATTCATCCTTCAAGCGACTTCTGTGTGCTTTACTTTTCCTTTCTGTCTTAATTTTGCCATGGAACTTGTGTTTCTCTGTCTGCCTTACCACTCGTGAACTAGTCTGACAAAAGTTCGTACTGAATTTACGTTATGCAAATATTATTATATGTAAATTTGATTCACCTTAGATGATCGCTTTTACTTAGGGACTTAACTTCAGAAACTTCTGACAGATTTCTATGAACACTTTTATTATCACGTGCACTTTAATTCATTTCAAGTCTCGTATTACTTACTGGCCTACATAATTTTTATAACGGTCTTGAATCTCGCTTTTTTACGCGTACTGACGGGCCGACAAAGCGATTTAATAACGCTCTCAGATGGGATGCAAACGTGCCTAGAATATGGTCAAAAATTGAAGTCGTGGTGCAACAAAGAGGGCTATCCCAAGACCCTGTCGAGTTTACGACGTCTTATTTATTACATAATCACCAAAATATTGGTGATCCCTTTGCCACAGAATTTTTAGTGACCCTCATCAAACAATTTCATAGTCACGATAATCAACACAAGGATGTGATGTACAGGACATGTAGCGCGCATAAGGGATATTAGAAACGCGTACAAATTTTTTATTAGAGTCTCTGAAGGAAAAAGAGCTGTTTATTACGCGTTTTTCTCTAGTCTCCTCTAACTTCATCCCCGGCTGAATACTGTACAAAAGAGCCAGAAGTTTCTGACGTGCAGTGTTGTGTGCGTGCAGGGGCGACTTCTCCACGTGGCGCGATCTGCTGTTGGAGATGAAAAATGCGCCCGACCGACACAGGCGACGTCTCCTGCTGCCTCCGCTTGCCCAGGGGCGTCGGCCACTACATGAAGGCGTGAGATGCACCTCGTGCCAGTGCTCCCCCCTGCGGGGCCCACTCTACCGCTGTTTGTCTTGCCCCTTCGTACTCATGTGCGAGGAATGCGTCACGGATCGTCGACGGATCAGCGTCGCGGCGTTCCACAGGGACCACGGTCTGGCCGTCAAGGAGGTAGCGTCCTTCATAGACCATAGAAGGTTTATATTAACCCATATTTTGCGCTAGAACCAGACTATACGTTCACACTGTCCGTCGCCGAGAGACATTTTAATATTATCATTCCATCTAGGCTTAGGTTTCCCCAGTGCCTTTCACTTGTGCCTATGTTTCAGAGCCCACTAGATCGCTGGCGGGCTTCTCCCCAAAAGAGCACGCTGCCGAGAGGGGTTCCTCGTCGGAGCCTCGGGTAAGTACCAGGTGATGTGAGCCTCTAATTGTATTGATTGTGCTAGCCGTGCCAGCCAGCCCCTCACATCGGCAGGTCCGGGGTTCCGCACTGTTCCGGGTCAGTATAAACAGGCTGGACAGAAAAGGACCCACGGGTTCTGATCTTATAATTACAAAACTCTTCGAGAGTGCCTTCCGTGGTCAAATGTAGGATATTCGTGTTTTGTTTTGGGCTATAACTGTTTTTATATATTTTCGCAGCGATCTTAAAATACGCGTCTGTGTCACTCAGCAGAATTTTCTCTCCCTTTGCCAGATTGTCCAAAGAGACCACACATCGAGTTTTCAGAGGGCAGGATCTCCTCAACAGAGGGCAGCAGTGTTGTTTGTGCCTCGCACCTTATCAGGTACGTTTGGTATTCAGACCCGCACGAGACAAACTGTCCCCCTGAAAGCAAGAAATATTACATTTTACTTCGCTAAAAGGGAGAGACTCTTACGCGTGAGAACCTTTACATATAATATCATATTCAGCAGAACTTTTGCTTTTTATGGGTTTCTAGCTAACTCTGTGGAACAAAAATCTTCTTGAGAAGCTTGTGGTCGCTCAGCTAGTCAAGAGACTCGCCATATTTTATGGAACCAGTAGGTTCATTACCGTGTTAACAACAGCCCCTCCTCCCCACTGGTCCCTGTCGTGGGACACGTGAATCTTGTCCACAACATTACGTTTTTCTTTTCGAAAATACGCTGTAATGGAATATTCGTGCTTCAGATCCGTGAGGAGATACGAACATTACCTTGCGGTCATCAGTTCCACGCGGCCTGCGTGTCCCGATGGCTGCTGCACTCACCTGATTCCTGTCCCCTAGATGGAGCACCTGTCGTCCGTGCTCACCGGTGAGTACCCCTATATCGGATTTCATTTTAAGAGAGGTCACACGAAGTATAGTGAATTAAAGTCAATGTTAAGTAGGATTTGATGCTTTGACGGCTGAGAGTACGAAGATGGCTGTCTTCTTGGTCGCGGCGCTGTGTAGTCTGGTAGAAGTTTACCAGTCGCCCCGATGATGGAGGCAGTACGCACCTCCGAAACGTTGGTAAGCTTCTATCAGAGGACTCGGCGCTATAACCCACAAGACGGCCATCAACTGCGGTTTCCTTAAACAGCGTTAACCAGTTGATCTTTGTAATGGTGAAGAGCCGTGTTTTCTTCGCGGTACGGACTGGATTCTTAAATATTATTTGGACTAACGTTGGTTTCAATTCTGTCGCAAGTGACAGAGGACGGTGGATCTCGAATGAAGTCGTGCTTGCGCCACTGTCCTCAGGAGCGTAGACGAATTTACACATGCGAGCGGTTGCGTGTTCCAGGCGAGCTTGTGGCTTTGAAGAGACGGAGTTTGGAAATTGTAAGATGCAGCGGAGGAAATTGGTGGAGCCACAGTTGCAGCAAAAGTCACTAGGGACAGGGCTTCAAGTGAAGGGACTGACCCTCTCAGACCGAAGGTTCGTACCTCGTTCAACTAAAAATGCACTTAAGTTCGTAGTCGTCTGATATGCTGTCTGAAGGGCCATTACTGTGATCTAGATGCATCTTTCCTGAGTCAGTTCAATTCCACCCACATCCTCACACAATTTTCCTGTAAGATCCATTCTGGTATTATCCTCCCATATGTGATGATATTTTTCTAGTAACATTTCGTGTGCATTTCATATCGCCCCCATGCGTGCTATATACCCTGCCCACCTCATACGTTTTAATTTAATTCTCTAAATACTTGGTGAAGACATTCGTCAGGACCATCAAACAGGACTAATGGT